TGACAGACTAGCTTGGGATTACCTAGAGGCAGTTTTGATTGGCATTGGACTGCCTTTGCGCTTTTTTGACCTATATTATGTCTCTATATAAAGCCCCCACAGCGCGAGTGCGAGTGAACGGACACCTATCAGACTCTTTCTGATCAGCAACGAGACCAGACAGGGATGCCCTCTGTCACCTCTCCTATTCATTCTTACACTGGAACCCTTATTGAATTGCATCAAAGATAATGCCAACATTAAAGGGATTTTGATCAATGGCAAAACGCATAAAGTGGCAGCCTTTGCTGACGACATACTGCTTTTCCTGACAGATCCTCATATCACGATACCTAATTTGTTACAGGATTTCAAATTATTTCAGTATTTGGCTAACTTCAAAATTAACTTTTCTAAATCCCAAGCGCTTAATGTATCATTAAAACCGGAGGTGGTTAAACAAGCGACATCAAATTTTCCCTTTACCTGGCAACGAGAAACTATCACTTATTTAGGTATCCAACTACCATCCCATCTTACCGAACTATATGCAACAAATTTTCTACCCCTCTTACGTAACATTTCCAAAGACCTTCAGATGTGGAATAAACCTTGGTTCTCTTGGTTTGGTAGAGCAGCCATACTTAAGATGAACGTGCTCCCCAGAATATTATATTTACTACAAACAATACCAATTCAATTACCAAATTCATTCTTTCAATCATATAAAACGCTCTGCTCCTCTTTCTCTTTGGTATAATAAACGCCCAAGAATCAGCTTCACCCAACTCACTATGTCCAAGAAGAATGGAGGTATTGGATTACCGGATATTTTCTCGTTACTACAGGTCTTGCCACCTAGCCAGATTAGTAGACTGGACCACGAATCACATTCATAAGATCTGGGTCGGTTTGGAGGCTGATTTTTCGAAGATACCACTTTCCACCTCCCCATGGCTGAAAACCGCCCATGTCCCTTCTGAATTTCGGATGCACCCACTTATAGGTCCCACTTTAACGATGTAGCGCGCAAGTGTTTCAGGAAAAAGTACTTTCTTCCTCTCCGAGCCCTTTCACTCCGATCAAATTGAACCCGGACTTTATTCCAGGGATGTCTACGACCTTTCTCGCTGGGTATAGACGGGAAGATAACCTAACAGTACGTCAATTTCTCAAAGATTCTAAGCTCCGATCTAGAGAAGACATTACAAAGGCGTGGCCAGCCCTTACCTTAACGCCTTGGATGTATAGACAAATCCACCATTTTCTACGTAACTCCCCACATCTAAAGGATTATTCAAGACCGCTTACTGCTTTCGAAAAACTCTGCTTTACAGATCTCCCACAGAGGCATGTAATATCCAAATTATATTCCCTATTGGAAAGTTCCAATACATCTCACTCACTGAAGGCCTGTGCAGCCTGGCAGCATGATCTAGAAATTTCAATCTCACCTGAGGAATGGAACCACATTTACGATCACATGCATAAAGGTTCCATATGTGTTTCTACACAAGAAAGCAACTACAAAGTTTTTTCCAGATGGTATAGAGTTCCATCTGTGATTCATAAATTTGATCCTAAAGTGCCAGATTTATGCTGGCGATGCTCCCAGGCAAATGGTACTCTTCTCCATATATGGTGGGAATGCCCGCTGTTGCAGCCCTTCTGGAGACAAATTTTGGACATCATTAGACAAGTAACCACTTACACCCTAGACTTTACACCAGCACAATGTCTACTCCATCACTCCTCCCTTTCGGTGAGGATTTACCGTAAGTCCCTTGCATTACACATGTTAAATGCGGCAAAGCAGTGTATCCCTGTTCATTGGCGATCAGCCTATATTCCCACCGTACGAGAGTGGATTCTTAGGATCCAGAGGATTGCTGAAATGGAGGAACTGATCTCAGTGGCAAAAGATCACCCCGAGCGATTCAGGAAGACTTGGGCTTGTTGGACCCACTTCCAAACTACTGATACTTACCTTGGCTTGCTGAGGGATTGAACGAGAAAGATTTGGAGACACCGAAGGCCTCTAGAACTTTCACCTCGGCAATAACTCCATTAACGGTCATTCACTGAATTATATCGCTAATTAAAAAGATGAATTAGATACAGCCAGGCTGTTACGAATAGATGTAACTGGTTTGGTTATGCTTATTTAAATATGAACCTCATCATCCAACCACTCCCCCCCCCCCTCTTTTTTTTTTTTTTCTCTCCATCTCTCTCTCCCCATTCCCCCCTTCTATTTGTCATGTGCGTCTCCTCCTACCTCATTTTGATATCTCATCTCATATTCTTCCTCCATCCCCACGCTCCTCTCTTTCTTTTCTTTCTCTCATTTACACCCTCTTTTCTCATAGTCTAATTAGCTATTATTCTCATTCGGTACGGAACACCCATAGCTATACAGATGTAACAATATTCTACAACAGTAACCCACATTTTTTTTGAGATGGAAATATATGTCATAGATGCCTTGAGAGGATACTTTTGACGACCACTTCAGAATCCGCTTATGTATACTTTCCTTACATAGAGCCTAGTATATACCATAATTATCTAAAGTACATGCTACTGTCAGTATTGCTATGGTTACGTCTATCACTTTTGCCTTACTGTGGAACTCCGTCCTCTGATGTTCTACAAATTAATATATTGTCTTGATCCCGTCTGCGTTACGGGAGAACGTACTAGAAACTTTGCACGGACTGCGATCCGTATCTGTCTATCATTTGTTTACCTTTCATACTTCAATAAAACGTTTTTTTTGGGAAAAAAAAAAAAAAAAGAAAAGAAGAAGAATGAAAAGAAGAAGAAGAAGAAGAAGAAGAAGAATGAAAAGAAGAAGAAGAAGAAGAATGAAAAGAAGAAGAAGAAGAAGAAGAAGAATGAAAAGAAGAAGAAGAATGAAAAGAAGAAGAAGAATGAAAAGAAGAAGAAGAAGAAGAAGAAGAAGAAGAAGAATGAAAAGAAGAAGAAGAAGAAGAATGAAAAGAAGAAGAATGAGAAGAAGAAGAATGAAAAGAAGAAGAAGAAGAAGAAGAAGAAGAAGAATGAAAAGAAGAAGAAGAAGAATGAAAAGAAGAAGAAGAAGAATGAAAAGAAGAAGAAGAAGAATGAAAAGAAGAAGAAGAAGAATGAAAAGAAGAAGAAGAATGAAAAGAAGAAGAATGAAAAGAAGAAGAAGAAGAATGAAAAGAAGAAGAAGAAGAATGAAAAGAAGAAGAAGAATGAAAAGAAGAAGAATTCCAGTACAGCAAAAAGTGTATCTGCAGAGAGCTCCGCTGTTTCTGACAGTTCTCTGACAGTTCCTTCACATTTACAGCGGTTGAAACATTGTATCTATTTGTTTCCGAATAAAAACATCTGTATCCTAAATGGAAACAAATAGATACAATGTTTCAACCGCTGTAAATGTGAAGGAACTGTCAGAGAACTGTCAGAAATAGCGGAGCTCTCTGCAGTGACACTTTTTGCCGGCTGATCAGGGAAAATTCGATTCGTGCATCCGAAGTTTGCTAAAATTCGGATTCGGTGCGAATCGAATTTTTCCTAATATTCGAAACGAATTCCACTTCGCCAAGTTCGATTCGCTCATCTCTAGTCCCAACACTGAACCTTGGGGTACACCACTAACAGCCCTAGACAATTCAGAGTATGAATCATTAACCACTACTCTCTGAATACGATCTTTTAACCAGTTTTCTATCCATTTACATATGGATTTTTTTCAAGCCCATAGACTTTACCTTACACATTAGCCATATGTGGGGAACTATGTCAAACGCTTTTGCAAAATCCAAGTATACCACATCCACCGCCACCAAGGTTTTGCTCACCTCCTCATAAAAATAAAATCAGATTTGTTTGACAACTTCTGTCTTTCATGAATCCATGCAGTCTGTTGCTTAAAATATTTTTTTGCAGCAAGAACTCATCTATGTGGTGTTTTATTAAACTCTCCAGTATCTTTCTAACTATAGAAGTTAAACTAGCAGGTCTGTAATTACTTGGTAAAGATTTTAACCCCTTTTTAAATAATGGCACCATATTGGCCTTACGCCAATCCAGTGGTACTATGCCAGTCATTAAAGAGTCCCTAAATATGAGAAACAATGGCTTTTAAATGACGGAGCTCGATTCTTTAAGGACTCGTGGGTGTATGCCATCCGGTCCAGCTGCTTTATTCACCTTTATTCTGTCTAAAATGTCATAAAATGATAGAGAAAAACAATGTGCGCTACGACAAAAAATTTAATTAAATAAATAAATGAGCTGCTACAATAACACTTTAAAGTGATCCCACACTCAATGCATACAAAATAATATCAATAGTGTTGCGCTAACTCGCATATCATTAATGAAATTGACAAAAATAAATACCAAATATGATAACAATTTTCCAAGTGAAAATTGATGAACTAAAAATAAAATAAAAGAGCTTGTGTTGAAACAGTCCTAAAAACAATAATGATGTGCTTGAATAAAAAGTGTGCACCACAACTCCAACCGACAGTGCTCCACCGCAAATAAGTGCACCTCCACCTAGGAATATGATGGCCACTCGCCTCATATAATGGACCTATATGGTAACATAGGTCAAACAAGCACGGTAATTCAATGAATAGGCTCCAGAAGGCAGCAAAGAGCTGGTTAAGGCAATAACAGGAATGATAATGCACAATCATCCACAGGGATCCCCTCACAACTCCACCTCAACATGTAGGAAGAAAGAACACCCTCCCATAGTGTAATACCATTTATTTAATTAAAAGCACAGAGTATCAGAGTATCACTCACAATGTCTCAGAGTATAAAGATTGGTATGACAGCAGAATACTTCCGTTCCGTAACCGGAACAGACGTCACAAAAGTTACTATATGTTATGACTTCTGCACCATAAAACAATGTACAGATCAGTGCACATAAAAAAATGACTATGCTTGACTTCTAAGCAGAAGAGATAATTACAATATGAAATTTATGTAGAGTACAAGCCTGTACAAATTACCTCAATTACTCTTTTCCTGATGGCTGGTATCAAACCATTATCATACAAAGCTTTCAAAAGTCGGAAAGTGTTCCCACCACCTGGACACAAATAACATTCAGTTCAGATACAGTGGGTTATACAGGATATTTTAATTACATATATGAACCATGGATGACATTTAGTTTGGCAAAGCGCTGTGCATCTTAAACAACTGCCATGTTTTTAAAAAGACAATATTTTTAATTTTTTAAACTCTCTTTTGCATCTCAATGCTGTTTTTTTGCATCTCCTCCAGTCTCTTTCAGCCACTTCCAGTGTACACGTACTTGCTCCAGCATCAGCTGTTCTGTTTCGGCTTTCTGTTAGTAACAAAAGTGGACTGCACTTGTGCACGTGTGTCGACGTGGCTGCTTGTAGTTTCCACCAAAGATGTATGTGAAAGGATGATAATGCAGGAGCACAACTGACAGCTGTCACCCCATCACAGGAAGCTAAGCATGTAACTTAATTGCAGGATCACCAGCTAAACTGGGAACAACTTTTGGAATTACATATAGCATGTTTAAAAGGGGTATTAATTCTAAGACCAAAAATGTAATATATTGCAGCTTACTAATTATTAGATGCAGTGTCTACATTTGTTTTCCATTTTTTGACTTTTTTCTATCTGTTTTCACCTGGTGATCTGGCCAGTATTATACTTACTGTATTAGGGTGCCCCAACTCTGGATGAAGGAGCACAGGGGTACCTTTGGAACAGCAATGTCAATTTGGGGGGAGGGGATTATCAAATGTACTGGCATATTTAGATACACTAAACAAATTGAAGCCAAACTCCAGCTCAAAACAGAGTTAAACAAGCAGTTTCTGCAAATATGTTTTTTTTTCTTTTGGAATAAAGGTTTTACATGAATAAATAAAACCGGATTGCAAGCACCCCTGTCAGTAGTAAATATTTTGTCTCAACACTGTTTACTGATACAATTGTGGGACAGCGTATTCTATTGAAAAACTTACTGACTGGATCACCAGGTAAAAATAAAGGAAAAAAAGCCTAAAATAAAAACTAATACAACCACCACATCTAGTAAGCTACAATATAATAAATGTTTGCTTTTGGCTTTAATACCACTTTAAGCTTATTGGAGATTTTGTGATAATGTTTACATCTATTTTAATCATTTATCCTTAAAGTGATATTAAACCTTTTTTTTACTTTAGTTAAGGAAACCCAAACTTACAAAATATGTACAATCTTCTTCCTGGAACATGTGCCTTTCTTTGTTGTCTGGCCAGGCCCTTAATTACGGCCCCTGTCTCCCTGTTTGCATGTGTCCCCTGTAGTTAGCCGGCTGCTAAGCAGACAACTGTGAATACATGCAGTGTTTGTCCATTCAAACCATTGGCCCTGCTCCCTCCTCCAGCAAAGAAGGAAGATCCTGCAAGAGACAGTACAGTTTAAACCTCTAATCCGCCTTCCTCCTGCAGGAGAGACCACTGCTTTCTTCTTATCTGCCTCCATTCAGGTGCCAGAGTGGTGAGCAGCTTTTGGACATTTTTGCTGTATAGAACTTTGCTTCTACCTATTGCACCCTATCACTGTTAATTGTTTGGGACACTTTTCAAAGATAATTTACCCTGTGGACTCCATATTTAGAGGGTGCCACCACTATCAGACTGTGTGCATATTCCCCACTGGCCAGTGGTTAGCTAGCGTCTATAAATATATATATATATATATATATATATATATATATATATATATATATATAAATAGAAATTAGGTCTCAGTAGCTAGCCATATATCTGTCACTTTAGTTTGGAGAAATAAACCAAACAAAGAAAAGCTATGCACTAACCCAAATACATATCAAAAACCATATATATTATGTTGTAGCTCCTCACTGCTGTGTGTTCAAACACCAATAGAAATCAATATGGAAAAAGTGTTACACAACTAAAATGTGTATAATCCAATATAAAAGCTGCAACAAAAATATTTTAAATAAAAAAGACAAACGCATGTAAATGCATAAAACACAATTAGTGAAATAACTGATGATATAAATAAATAAAGTGCAGTGAATAAGCCAATATAAAATGTGCAAAAAAAAAAATGGCAAATGCATGTAAGCGCATAAAACACAATTACTGATATAAGTTATAATATAAATAGGTAAAGTAAAAAGAATCCCAACCTCCTTTGTATATACAGAGCTTAATAATTTATATTCCCCCTTTAAACTTCATAAATACTATAAAAAATGCATTACACATTAAACTAATATAAACAAGTGCAAAATACAAAAATTCATAAAAAGTCCCAAAATCTCCAGTGCGAAAATGTCTTTCTTCAAAATATCGTGTTTTATGGCATGCATATGTCATGAGTGCTCAATATAAAGTTGGTGATGTGCTCCACCAGAGTGAACCATCACCTTCCAATGCTGCCACTTACCTCAGGATTTGACCCACAAAAAAGGTAAGGTCAAACACGCTTCCCAACACTCCAATTCCTCCAATTCACTTGTAATAGGCAAGTGTCACTTTAAGACCATAGACTCCAGCCAAATCAATGTGAAAAATAAAACATAAAAGATCCCATGATGCAGTATCAGAGTAACTTGATATTGTTTATTAAAGGAAGATTAAAAATACTTACACGTATGGTGCACTTGTAACATCCAGTGCAATAGATTGATCGCTTGTTTACACTTCTATTTCAATAGTATATTGCCCCCTTAAGGATGCATAGGTCCTATGATTAAGTCATTGATCACGTGACGAAATGTGTCAGAAGAGGGGGCCACTAAACGTCATTACACCCAGAAGTGTGTGTTCGGCCATTATAGACACTACTCCAGAGATATGCATCCTTAAGTCCTCGGTCACACTGGGTGCGGCTAGGCATGCGATTTGCATGCCATACAACTTGACAACTCGTCATGGCAAGTTGTACCCTATTGTGCGCAATTACAGCTGTCATATCGGTGCGGTTCCTACATGGTCAGAGCCGCACCGATTTCTAAATTAGTGCATGCACTACTTTTGATGCAATTTGCATAGACATAGGTGTCAGATGTCTTGCAAATCGCACCTCAAATCGGCATGTCATCATGCTTCACTGTAAGACGCACAATTTCAAAGTCGGGATCAGTGTGACCAGGGTGTAAGGGAGCAATATACTATTGGAATGGAAACAAGCGAGAAATCTGGAATGTTGGGATATTTTGGGACTTTTTATGAATTTGGTATTTTACATTTGTTTATATTAGCTTAATGTGTATGCATTTGCAAGCGTTTTTTATAGTATTTATGAAGTTTATAATATGAATTATTAAGCTTTGTATATACAAGGGATGTTGGGATTCATCTCACTTTATATATTTATATCATCAGTTATATCACTAATTGTGTTTTATGCGTTTGCCACTTTTTATTTAAAAACATATCATTTTTGCACATTTTATAATGGGTTATTCATTGCACTTTATCTATTCATATCATCAGTTATATCACTAATTGTGTTTTTTGCATTTACATGCATTTGTCTTATTAGTTTGAATAAATATTTGCTTTGTTGACTGCTCTTATTGTAATTTGTAGTATTGTTCTGCAATCACCCATTACATTTTTGGTAAGGCCCTTCACTGATAATAAAAAAAGTACAAACGTCAACACTATTAACCTCACTACTAGTGTATTGTGTTGTGTCACTGTTATTGAACCACTGTATTTTGTAAGTTTTAATAAAGCCCAATGATTGCCATTGATGTGTCAGTGTGTTGTCAGGTTCAGTTACATGTTGGGTCATTATTGGAAACAGTAGAAGAACCTATCATTTACCAGGAGCTTCTGCGGGAAAGGGTGCTACACAGTAGTAAATGAATTATGCACTGTAACAGGACTGTACTGCAAATTGAACTTACCAATAAGTATAGCTTTTGATTTCTGGTGTTGATTTTTTTTTCTGTACTGAATGGATACATAATGTACTGTAACTGTACTTTACTGCAAATGGTACTTACCAATAAATATAGCTTCTGATTTCTGCACCGCCTCTACAGGATCCACTGCCTCATGTATGCTGTCTAGGCCATAACCTGAAAACATATTGAGGTTTTTAACAAACGTGTGAATAACGCCAAGACATCTGACAATGGTGACTATGCAATGCTCTAAAAAAAAAATGTGAAGATTATTTTAAAAGAACCATATTTTTGCCTTATTAACCCCTTATCTACCAACATAGGTTTATAAACAGCAGGGTAAACTTGGGGTTAAATCAAGCTCAAGGCAACTGTGAGCTTGCCATCAATTTTTACAGCCAGCTTAGAAATTTTTGAAGGTGTGTCCCCAGCTGGAGGGCCTGCAGTGGTTTTGGATTCTCCCATTCCTCCATGTTAATTTTCTTTCCACAGTGAGAGCAGGAGGTGATTGGGGAACATCCTTCCCGTGATCCCCCTGCAGAACTAATGAACTATGTATTACATGTATTACATCACTTCTGGGTGCAGAGCAGGACTAATGAATGGTGCAACAAATGTATTTTGTATTATGTCACCCTCAAGTTCACAGTTGTTATTTGCCAGTTACTGTAGCCCGGGATGCAGCTCATCAAGCACAATATACACTGCTCAAAAAAAATTAAAAAGAACACTTTGAAAACACATCAGATCTCAATGGGGAAAAATATCATGTTGGATATCTATACTATGTCCTGGGTAATGTGTTAGGAACGTAAGAATACCCCATCGTTTGAATGTAGTCCTCTGTAGGTTGATAATTTTGGGGGCCATTCGATGGTATCAATTCCTTCATCCTCCAGGAACTGCCTGCATATTCTCGCCACATAAGGCTGGGCATTATCGTGCACCAGAAGGAACCCAGGACCCACTGCACCAGTGTAGGGTCTGACAATGGGTCCAAGGATTTCATCCCGATACCCAATGGCAGTCAGGGTACCACTGTCTAGCCAGGGGTGGGCAAACTTTTTGACTTGAGGGCCGCAATGGGTTCATATATTGGACCCGGGGGCCGGACCAAGAGTAGATGAATGATGTGTATGTGTCATCCATAGTAAGTATAGTAATATTCCCCCATAGTAAGCATAGTAATTAATCCCCCATATAGTAATTTATCCCCCATAGTAATTCATCCCCATAGTAATTCATCCCCCATATTCAGTAATTCCCCCATATAATTCCCCCCATATAGTAATTCATCCCCCATAGTAATTCATCCCCCATATAGTAATTCATCCCCCATAGTAATTCATCCCCCATATAGTAATTCATCCCCCCTATAGTAATTCATCCCCCCTATAGTAATTCATCCCCCCTATAGTAATTCATTCATCCCCCCCCTATAGTAATTCATCCCCCCTATAGTAATTCATCCCCCATAGTAATTCATCCCCCATATAGTAATTCATCCCCCATATAGTAATTCATCCCCCATAGTAATTCATCCCCCATATAGTAATTCATCCCCCATATAGTAATTCATCCCCCATAGTAATTCATCCCCCATATAGTATCCCCCATTAGTATCCCCCCCATAGTAATTCATCCCCATCCCCCATAGTAATTCATCCCCCATAGTAATTCATCCCCCCTATAGTAATTCATTCCCCATATTAATTCATCCCCCATATTAAGTCCCCAAGTCCCCCCTGTGTCAATTCACTTACCTTTGCTCCCCGCGTTCCTCTCGCCGTGTTCCCGCACCGTTCCGGTGTAGCATGAAAATCTGTCTCCTATGAGGATCTGTCCCCCTCGACGTATCTGCGCATGTGCCAGTTTCAGGCATTAGCAGCCGATCGGCGATCTCCGGCACATGCCCAGATACGTCGAGGGGGACAGATCCTCATAGGAGACAGATTTTCATGCTACACCGGTCTTCAGGGCAGACTGTGAGAGGAGCCTAGCGGGAGCTAGGATTAAAAGGTGCGCCGGGCCGTATACGGCCCGCGAGCCGTAGTTTTCCCATTGCTGGTCTAGCCTGTAGAGGTTTGTGTGTCCCTCCATGGATATGCCTGCCCAGACTATCACTGACCCACCACCAAAACGGTCATGCTGAACAATTTTACAGGCAGCATAACATTTTCCATGACTTCTCCAGACCCTTTCACATGTGCTCAGGGTGAACCTGCTCTCATCTGTGAAAATCACAGGGTGCCAGTGGTGGATCTGCCAATTCTGGTGTTCAATGGCAAATGCCAATTGAGCTCTATGGTGCCGGGCAGTAAGCACAGGGCCCAGTCGAGGACATCGGGCCCTCAGGCCACCCACATGAAGACTGTTTATGATTGTTTGATCAGAGACATTCACACCAGTGGTCTGGTGTAGATCATTTTGTAGGGCTCTGGCAGTGCTCATCGTGTTCCTCCTTACACAAAGGAGCAGATACCGATCCTGCTGATGGGTTAAAGGACCTTTTATGGCCCTCTCCAGCTCTCCTAGAGTAACTGCCGGTCTCCTAGAATCTCCTCCATGCTCTTAAGACTATGCTGGGAGACACAGTAAACCTTCTGGCAATGGCACATATTGATGTGCCATACTGGAGGAGTTGGACTGCCTGTGCAACCTCTGTAGGGTCCAGGTATCACCTCATGCTACCAGTAGTGACACTGACCCTAGCCTAATGCAAAACTAGTGAAAAACAGTCAGAAAAGATGAGTAAAGAAAAAATTTCAGTGGCCCCCCCCCCCATTCCTGGTTTGGGGGGTCGTCTTATGGTTGCCCATCTATTGCACCTTTTGTTAATTTCATTAACACCAAAGCAGCTGAAACTGATTAACAACCCCCTCTGCTACTTAACTGACCAGATCAATATCCCAATAGTTTAACTAACTTGATGCTATACTCTGATTAAGAAGTGTTCCTTTAATTTTTTTTTTGAGCAGTGTACATTTCATTCGCACACACCAATACAACCTACAAATCCTAGATTCATCTATAACGGGGAAGTCTATGTCATTCAAAGCATTCATAAAATAAAATGTAGTACTAATAAAATATAACAAGTTTTCAAAGTTCTATAGTCTAGTATCCTTGTTTGTCATTCATATATTATGGCAATTGTTACAAGACATTTTCAGCAACAAAGTAATATCTGTTCTACGATCATGTTATGGATTAAAAAAAAAAGTGTAAAAAATATATATATATAAATAATTTTTTTTTAAAGCATCCCCATCACCCATGCACACACTCCAATGCAAATGCCCAGTGTACGGCAAGCAGGTGTATATAAACGTTAATTGTGTCACACATGTGAGATACCTCCATGAACATCAGGATAGAAGGAATAAATCTAGGGCCATAATTTACAGTTAACTCTAAAATGATAATCTGTAAAATCTTTTAAAATGTTGCCTATGGACAATTTTGAATTCCATAGTTCTTTTGTAATTTCATGGGCATGTGCAATTTTAAGGCTTGACATGTTTGGTACCCATTTATGCAATACACCCCAATGTATTAAATTTTAACAAAAAAATTGGGGATAAAATTGTGCTTGTTTGTACAAAAATTCATTTTATCTTATTTTTTCCTGAAAATATGAATTTGATAAATAGCTGTGCAGATATCGTGTGACAGAAAAAATATAGCAACTACCACCATTTTACTCTCTAGAGTCTCTGCTTTTGGAAAATATATAATTATTTGACGGTAATAGGAAAGTAAATGTTTAAAGTACTTGCTAGTAAAATATTGTAGATTTTAATGTGTGTAAAAAAATTTTAATAATGCTCCAGTAAAAAAAAGTGGTTAAAAGCTAGGTTCACCCTTGAAAAAAAAAGTAAATGCACAAGTTTTTGCAGGGGAAAAAAAAAGTGCATTCATTATTTATTTTGCAGGAGCCTGCAAACATTGCACCCATGATCAGTGGATCGCGGGTGAAATGTCAGGCTACTGCAAACTCTTCCACCAGTTATCTGCCTATACCTCTGTATGAGTTTTCAGTTGGAGAGCTGAGGGAAGATTCAACAAGTGTGGTGAGTACCGCACTCATAGTCCATTGAGAACTACAGGTGAAACTCGAAAAATTAGAATATCGTGCAAAAGTTCACTTATTTCAGTAATGCAACTTAAAAGGTGAAACTAATATATGAGATAGACTCATTACATGCAAAGCAAGATAGTTCAAGCTGTGATTTGTCATAATTGTGATGATTATGGCTTACAGCTCATGAAAACCCCAAATCCACAATCTCAGAAAATTAGAATATTACATGCAATCAATAAAACAAGGATTGTACATAGAACAATATCGGACCACTGAAAAGTATAAGCATGCATATGTACTCAGTACTTAGTTTGGGCCCCTTTTGCAGCAATTACTGCCTCAATGCGGCGTGGCATGGAAGCCATCAGCCTGTGGCACTGCTGAGGTGTTATGGAAGACCAGGATGCTTCAATAGCAGCCTTCAGCTCTTCTGCATTGTTCGGCCTCATGTCCCTCATCTTTCTCTTGGCAATGCCCCATAGATTCTCTATAGGGTTCAGGTCAGGTGAGTTTGCTGGCCAATCAAGCACAGTAATCCCACGGTCATTGAACCAGGTTTTGGTGCTTTTGGCAGTGTGGACAGGTGCCAAGTCCTGCTGGAAAATGAAGTCAGCATCCCCATAAAGCTCGTCTGCGGAAGGAAGCATGAAGTGCTCCAAAATCTCCTGGTAGATGGCTGCGTTGACCCTGGACTTAATGAAGCACAGTGGACCAACACCAACAGATGACATGGCTCCCCAAATCAACACAGACTGTGGAAACGTCACACTGGACTTCAAGCATCTTGCAGTGTGTGCCTCTCCATTCTTCCTCCATACTCTGGGTCCTTGGTTTCCAAATGAGATGCAAAAGTTGCTCTCATCAGAAAAGAGGACTTTGGACCACTGAGCAACAGACCAGGTCTGTTTTTCTTTAGCCCAGATGAGACGCTTCTGATGTTTTTTGTTGTTCAGGAGCGGCTTGACAAGAGAAATACGACATTTGAAGCCCATGTCCAGGATCCGTCTGTGTGTGGTGGCTCTTGATGCACTGACTCCAGCCTCAGTCCACTCCTTATGAAAGTCCCCAACACTTTTGAATGGCCTTTTCC